ATTGAAAAAAAATCTTCATTTGGTCATCACACTAAGTACGCATATACTAGTTATCACAACCATTTCAGAAACCCTCTGTATAATAACAACGTGGCCATCCGTAGAGCGACAGGGATAGGATTAAGGGGAAGCGAATAAGAGAGATAGCGACTAACGCTTTTATTTTCGTTACGCACGGTTTTTCTGAGCTAGGGTCCCTCCGCTCATATCGCGCTATAAGAAACTACGTTTCAAAATTATTTAATGCTATGAGTGAAGTAGTTTTATTACTTTACAAAAGTAATTTACTCAACAGAGTGTATACATTGTACATTATGTTATATGTACCTCATAGATCTATTAGTTTATAGGTCTATGATATACCTATATTAACTGGTGATCCTTTCATTTCAATATTAAAAAAGTGGGAAAGTGGGAGACACTCTGCTGTACAGTACCTTTTTTCGTTCAAATTTGATATGATGGAGTGTAATGAGTGGATCACCAGGTATATTTATGATGAAGCTAGCAATTCAATTAATGTATATATTTATATAGTATATATTTTTATTGTAACTTTATTTCAAGTTCTTTAGAAGCTATGCTGGGACACATAGGAATTGAGCAAGTTTTCTGGTTTTCACCATGATTATCTAATCCAATTCCCAAATTTCAAAGTGTATGTTAAAAAATATTTAAATAATATACCCATTGATATAAAAAGTTTTCAACTTTTCAACTTCTCAGCTGACTGCTATTGCCGAAAATTTACTAATCAGTAATCATACATTTAGGAACAATAAACAATCATTCATTGTTTCTTCCAAAATACTCCTTTTTGCTTAACAGATGTTGTCTGAGTAAATTTTGGCAAACGCGCAGTCCATTAGTTAATAGGTCTATGGGTGAAATGCAATTATCATAACTACTCTAAAACGATAAAAAAGAATTTTGATGTAGCCAATTACCGACCAATCTCAGTATCTCACTCATAAATACATTAAAAAAAATCATGGAAAGAATTGTAAATAAACGTCTTATTTGACAGTTGGAGACCAATTTTTTTCACCAATGATTCATGTGGCCGGGGCCGTATTAACTATTAGGGCATAGTCACTATAGGCACTGTGCCTAGGCCTACGAACATTATAGGGGCCTACGAAAATGAAATGAGTGGCTACGATTTTTCTGTAATTTTTAATTTTTTTTTATTTTATAATTATAAAAGTTAATAATGTTAATATTTTATTTTCATGTTGTAAATAATTTTTTTTTTTAAAGGCTTAAAATACTGAGATTCAACACTACCTCTCCCAAACATTAGATATCTTAATGTAGGTATAATCAAATTGTTTACAAGAGAAAAAATAGTATTCAAAAGTACCTATGTTATAGAATTCAATTTTTTCAGTGCCTAGGGCCTACGGATGGCTTAATCCGGCCCTGTATGTGGCTTCCGACGAATTCACTCTACAATAGAAACCTTCGTATCAAAGGTTGTAGAGTGAATATACAAAATTTATCAAAAAACATCTTTGTCTGATCGCCCTAGA